TCTATTGGATTATATCACTTATTAACTATTTAATAAACACAAATTACATAAAACACAGACATATAAATAAACAAAAAATGATAATATGTAGATTATGAATATGGTGGTGCTGATCATCATCATTATCAAAATTTATTACAGACTCATGGTCCAGGATAAGACACATGAGAGTTAGAATCATGTATCATGTATATGTGTGTATGAATGTAACTATAGAAAGTAGTAGTAAAACTAAGCAAATACTAAGTAAATCAATGTAGGGCCGGGGGTTGGGAGCACATACGTATTCGGTCCGTGTATTTTTCGTTCAATTGTTTTTTCAAATTAAAATAGAAAATGAAATAACAAAAAATGGCTTGAATTTTCATTTTTCATTTTGATGAGGAAAAGGAAAAACGAAAAATTGGCTTGATATTTGATTTTTCGTTTCAATGCAAAAAATGAAAAAACGAAATATTGAATAATGCTATCATGCCGATTTGATTTCATTTTTCGTTTTGGGGCAACCGGAAGTGTGCGCCAAAGCCCGTGCACCCCATTATTTTCGTCCGGTTTGAAACAACAGAAAGCAGGCTGGCCTCAAGTGAGTTCAGTCTGGTTCAGTCTTGACCTGAAAATGTGAGGAAATAGGCGGAGGCTGCTTTCACCACAATTGCCTCTATATGCCAGTAAACTTGTCTTTATATGCCTGAAATGTGTGTCTTCGGGTCGAACACGTGACGTCGTGCACGTTCACGTTAGCTGTAGCAGCGCTAGCTGTATCTGTCACTACTGAAGCTGCAGAGGAAAGATGAATACTGTGGAGAATAACAAGAGACCGCCTCCAGGCAGCGCTGAAACTCCAGCCCAGACCCAAACTAAAGTAAAGTGCTTGAAAGGTAAGGCGGTTGTTTCTAAATACGTGTGAAAAATAGTGTTAGATGCTTTCAACGCAGCGGTCCGTGTATCAAAAGGCTACGTAGCAAAATGCCATTTCTTTTGTCAGTAACTGAGTTTTGCTGCATTTTAATTGTGGAAAGCGCACAGAATGAGGCATGGATGTCTCCTTTTCCAAAATACCAGCCCTAGTAAACCCCAGCCAGATCTCTGCGTTAGAAGGAAATAACACAACAACTAGCATTAGCTAGATATGCTACATGAACTGATGCGCAGCGTTTTGTTTACAAACGGGGCTATTTTAGAAACAACTGAAGTACCTACAGCTTTAGCAAAGGTCTCGTTGTTTAGTTAAGAAGGAGAGGCTTACAAACATGTCCAGTATTCAGGCAATCATGTGTAAATTACATTATTATTATTATTGCATTATTCTCAATGTATTTCAATGTGTACAAACTTTGCACATGTGTTTACCAAAGCAAGTACTAAAATGGTATGTGTGAAGTTACATTCTTTTTAACACTTTTTGTGTCCGTATAGTTTGGAACAGCCAAAACTGAAACATGGGATGCACGGAGGAGATGATCAACAGATTACTTGCCCTTGGTAAGCAAGCATATTCACTACAGTGTATCCTTACAGGCCTTTCTGTTACAGCTGACGGGACGATGGACTCTCCAGGTAATGCACAAAGCTCTTGGACATCTGATTGTTATAAATTTGCTGGAATGTTTGTTTTTCATTATTTTCCCATTATCTAACTTTTTTATTTAGGAATATTAAAGGTAAAGGTGCACTTGATTGATCCCCGCAGGGCAATTCAATCCTCTGCATTTGACATAACATGCTTATGAGTTTTTAATTTGCATTGCAACTTGTTACAAGATTATTTTGTTGTGTTCTGAACAGATCCAGAAAAGGGCAGATATCAGGGTATTATTACTTCACTCGATGTCTGGCATGCCTCAAATAATCTAACAAAGAAACTTCGTGCTGTATGTCGAATTATATTATATTGTTCTGTCAAGACTTTGTTTTAAATAACTTTGCTCTATCCCAGACCAGCGCCTCAGCTCTGCTGGGGGCTCATGACCCCAGGGCCCTGGGTCCTGTCCCCATCATCCCTCCTCCTGCAGCTGAAGCAGACACAACAGAGGACAGGTAGTGATGATAATCAAATGTGAAAAAAGTCTCAATGATATAAAATATATTTTTCTTTCTTTTTCTAGAACTTGATATCTGGCCCCTCAACAGAGGACAGCAATCAAAGATGGACACAGCACATTTATTTATATTATGTCAGATTTTTTACACATTTTTTCCCAAACATTGAAATAAATGTAAGACTTGTTTCTAAAGTGGTAATGAGTTGCATTTTTGTTTTAATTCCCCACTGTGGGACTAATAAAGCGGGCTTCTTTATAACCAGCAGGTCGTGCTCTTCTTATTCTAGACTCTCCTCTGGCTGCTCCTCTTCCTCATCTTCTTGCTGCTCCTCTTCCTCCTCCTCCTCCCCCTTTCAGAGTCACTGCTCTCAGGAATTCAGATTTAACTGGACTGGAGTCCTGGAAGGAAAAGCAAAAATATTTACATGTCACCATTCTGGAATGTATGTTTTGTACAAACTTCATTGATGTGAGCCATGAAAAAAGATGTTGAATTTATCAGAACAGTTGATATAGTTTTATACCTACAGACAACTTGTGTAGTATTAGTAGCAGACTAGTGTCAGTAATAACACTAATAAAAACAAAACAGTAACAGTGGTAATTAGGCTGTATTTTCTATGGGAATAATAATGTTGCTAATGTTAGCTTGTCTTGGCTGCAAAATAAGAGTGACTTCACTGATTTATGTTTATGAGTAGTAAATATACTACAAAAAGTCTCATGCTACGTTAACCTTATAAGGCCCAATGAAAAGATGATTTTGGCTTGTCATGGAAGCGTTTCTATCTGTGGAATTGTATTATTACAGTTAGGCTTACGTTTATCTATACAAAATATACACTTTTGTATACGTTCTTTTGATGATTCACTTTGCTTGACATTTGTTGAAATATCACATCTTGGAAAATATACACATTGATTTGGTCTAAATATCATACAAAACAGTAACATTACTTACCTCTGTTGAAGTCATCCCCGCAAATCTGTAATGATCAGGACAGGACCATATCAGGTGTTGTTTCTGTTCTGTTCCTCCTGCACGCGCCTGCTTTCTGCTGTTTCAAACCGGACGAAAATAATGGGGTGCACGGGCTTTGGCGCACACTTCCGGTTGCGCCAAAATGAAAAATGAAATCAAATCGGCATGATAGCATTATTCAATAGCTCGTTTTTTTCATTTTTTGCATCGAAACGAAAAATCAAATATCAAGCCAATTTTTTCTTTTTCCTTTTCCTCATCAAAATGAAAAATGAAAATTCAAGCCATTTTTTGATATTTCATTTTCAATTTTAGTTTGAAAAAACAATTGAACGAAAAATACACGGACCGTATTCTTCTTCCCACTTCGTTTTGAGCCAAACCCTTAAAATAATAATACTAATAATAAATGTTGTACAGATTATCCTTGTACCACATACTTCATTTTTTTGTTGCCCATTTATATGGGTACAGTGCTTTCTGTATGGCGCAAAATGTCATTTTTTTTGTATGTCTCAAAATAAAGTATTCAAATCAAAAATAGAGTAGCTCCTGCCATTTCTGTGGTGCAAAGGTAGCTCTCCAATCGCTCAAAAGTTTGGAGACCACTGGTCAAAGGACAGTTCTGCACATTCATTAACATTTCAGGACAGTGGTCATTCTGCTCCCTATGGACCAATGGCTCCCGTGTGTTTCTCATTGCATTTCTTGTGTTCATCTGTTTGATTCTCTGATCTGTTGTTGGTGAATCTACCTTTCACTATACATACATGTGATTGATTGATCAATTTGGTGTCGGTGATATCGAACCGGTCACGCTCTGACGATGGTCGCAGTGCTGTTGAGTATGCGCCACGCGTCTGTCCCTCTGTGGCACAGTTCCCAGCGCTGGTGCGTACATCGCAGGTGCTCTCCCTCCCTCTCTCCTCTCACTCGCCGTCTGTGCATGCGTTCCCCCCTCCCTCCCTCTCTCTCTCATCCATTCCCCAGTCTCGGCAGCAGCAGCAGCAGCAGCAGCAGCGGGGGACTGGGGCAGCTGGATGTGTTTGGAAATAACCATATTCTACCGCTGTCCATCTCGGGACGTCGCTCCTGCCTTTGCACCCACGCACGCCTGCCGCAACTGTTTTCTTCCATCTCCCGTCGAACGCAGCGACAAGGATGTGAAAGCGTCTGGATGGAGCGTTAAAACAGCTGACCTGCTTCTTCGTAGAGGAATAGCGCGGCGGATGCTCGGCTCGGATGCGGTATTTGCGCGCTGGAGGGGGGGCTTGGAAATGTGATCCAGGAGCGGTCGTCGCAGTAGATCGCGTCTCTCCTCTGCGTGACAACACCCTTCAGGCTTTTTTATCTGTCTGTCTGCGCTGTTCCCCACTCGAATCCGCGGAGGACGCTGCAAAGTGCTTTTAAATGGGCTTTTCGGAAGGCGGTGACTATAGTGCTGTAGAATCCTCCGGAGAGTGAAAAACGCTCTGAGAAATCTGACTGAGGACACATGGCTTCACTCAAATCAAAAAGAACAAGTCTTGTCTGCTGCTGTTGTAGATTCTAAAGGACTGCAACTTTCATCTTGTAAAAATAAACAAAAAGGAATGCTATACGTGTTGTAAAAAGACAGATTCTATTTTGCTTAAAAAGGATATCTACAAAATGACATTGTGTGTTTGAGCTTCTTCCCATGTACAAATATTAAGCTTTTTCTCCCTCTAACGCCTCTCCTCTCCTGGTTTTTCTCACCGATAGAGGTCCCATTGCTCTACTCCTTTCGTTTCCCAGCTGAACTTGCATTTGGATTATTGTGTGACTTAGACATTGTGAAAGCTTCTGTACAGCTGTGTTTTTGGTGTCTGCATGCCTCTGTCGGACTATCCCTTCTTTTACCTGTAACATGTACAAACACGGATTATAAAACTCCCAATTGGCAAATACCTGGAATTCCTATCTCCCCATGCCAATCGTTGGATTAACTCGCTGCCATGAGCCGTAACGGACGTCACCAGGGAAGGATGAGTGACTCTGCGGTGGCGGGGTCCGGAGTGGTCGTCTTGGAGGAAACTGGAGAAACCGTGGAGCGTGCTGCTTCCGGGGAGAGCCAGAACCGGGAGCGGGCCCCCTTTGGCCGTGCGTTCTGGCCGCGGCAGCAGACGTGGCTCTGCGCTGTGCCCCTGCTCATCGGGTTCATCGGCCTCGGCCTGAGCCTGATGCTGCTCAAGTGGATCGTGGTGGGAACGGTGCGGGATTATGTGCCCACGGATCTTGTGGACGCCAATCGCATAGGTCAGGATCCCATCTTCCTCTCCAAACCCAGCGGGATTCCGAAAAACGCAGATTCGTCGACGGTGACAACCAGCACAACGAGCACCACTACTGCTGCGGCAGAGGCCAAACCAGCCGGCAGAGGGAGGACTCGCTACACCGCCACCACGGTCAGCCACAGAGGAGGCGGGGCTTACGGGAGCCAGGTCACGCACAGAAATCCTGGGAATCGTAATGGACGCCACGGGTACACTACGACAACGGCCGCAGCCTCGCCCGTGGGAGGGAGTAGTGCCAGTACGTCGCCACCAAATCCCACGGTGCTCCACGACCAGACCGCCATGTGGACCCCAGAGCACACCACCCCCCCTCCTCGCACCACAGAGGCTCCCGGGAAGGCCAGCACCACGACACGCAGCCATGGAGGCCATAAGACACGTAAGTCAGAGTGAATGTTTGTCAGTTTGGAACGTGTTTTGAGATCCCCCCCTATGGAAAGTAAGTAATGTAATGTTTAAGTAAGTAATGTTTATTTATATGGCACATTTTACAGACCAAGGTCACCCAAAGCACTTTAGAATGTTCAGGAACCAGAAGTCCCAAAGATGGACATCTATCCGCGTGAATAAGCAACCAAATTATTTTTATAAACACTAATATAGCACATGACCCCCTGTTCGAGGCTACATTGTGTTGAGAATGATATCAACAATTATTGGATTCTAAAACTAGTATCACTAATTTGAATAAAAAAGCTGGTTTCAAAGAAATTCCTCTGTAGCCCTGCACTCCGCCACTGCCCAAACAAATGAATGGAATCATAAATGTTACATCATTACAATTATTCAAAGCACTGTGTAATGTAGTAATGGGGTTATTGGAGAACCAATGGTTGTTATACGTCACATGACGGGGACATGTGATCAACATATGCATTCTTTACTGAGAGACGTGTGAATTGGTGTCTGGTAGGGGTTTTCTATTTAGGCCCACTTTGTACATTTGACACCGTGTACAGCCAAGAAATGCAGTTTTGGGATCAATGGCATCGACTGCTACAGTAGGGCCATCCAACTGTTGTGATGTCAATAATGAATTATTCAGCTGTTTGATGGATTCACTCGGCTTTCTTGCTGCAACACAAGTTAAATTTGATTCTCAGTGACTTTCAAAAGAGGAGAAAATGGCTGCCTGATGGGTTTGGAGAATTAGTATTTGATGGGAGAAAGTGGAAGCGATGGATTGGGCTCCGAGCAAAGTGATTGTGTACTCTGCCTGCTCTATTATGCTGTTGGATTCCGGTTTTTGGATTCTGCCTTTTTCAATTATGTGATATATGTGCGTGTGTGTCCTTTGTGTCTTTGGTCTACAGTGCTAATTAGAGTTTCTAATGCATGTTTAAACAGTTGATCATTTTTCTAAAGACTGAAAAAACCTGTATGCTAAGGATGGAACATGAAACTGAAGTTGTACCCGTACAAGATGAGCGGTTGAACTGGTCTTCAGTGTCAAAGCAATGGACCCACTATGATGTAAAACTGTGGACTTTTCTTGGCAGAGCTGTGAAGAAAATCACAAGTTTTTGTTGTTGTTAAGGTGCACAACATCTGAAGAACAGGAAGCGTTTGAGTTTAGTTTTAGTTTAGTTTGAGTTCTATGTAAGAGATAATGTATATTACGCAGGTCATTATCGGAAAATAAGTACAGACAGGGCGAAGCAGACCCCGACACGCAGCGATTGCTTTTTCTCGCATTAAAACTGAATTTTGTCGTGAAAACCTTAACAGATACTTCTGAAAAACTCTGTGCATGTGTATAAGAATGTATATGTACAATGTATTCTCCCATTAACATTTAAATGGGTTGATTGATTGGTATTTGCTTTTATTGAGCGTAGCTAGCTCCGGAGTGGCCGGAACTACTTGCGGAGTAATCTACACATCTGAATTACAAGGACAGAGTGCGTTGCCATGGGCAGCGGTCATTATTGTTTTGAGAGGTCAGTTATCAAGAACTAATGACCGGAAGAATGTTTTGAAATTACATTCAATCGTGTAATAAGTTACCTCTCTGGCTTTAACAACACAAGAAGAAAAGGCCATAACTACATTGGGATTCATCTAATTAATATTTTCTCCTCAGGCAAAAAGGCGTCTGGATTAGAGGCATTTACTCTTTCAAATATAATGCTATTTTACATTATTATGCTTCTGGAATTCTGGCTCACTAAATGAAGAATGCTGCTGGCTCAGTGACTTTTCCACACACTGACCTGCACACAACCAACCACGTGTTCTCTTTGACCATCTCATTGGATCCACCTCAGTCACAAACATGACCTGGTATACTGTAGAATCTTCTGTTTGAGAACCACAATACTGTAACTGCTACAGTCCCACATGCTCGAACACATACTGACCATAACTAATGCAGATTCTGTTGAAGAAAGATCTGAAAATAAAGTGTCATTTTTTTCAAACGCTCTCTCACGCTGATGGAGAACAGTTGGCCCTCAGGCAGCGGACTAAGATTATAAATGTACAATAAACAGCCTTGACAAAATTGAAAAGCTTTTTGCCAATACTCGGGATGATGCAACACAGCAGTCTTAAGAGCTTGGCCTAAGAAGATTTGAGAGAGTTATGGAAGGGCTGCTGGGTTCTTGTCATTGTTAAAAATTGAGTCATATAAAATCACTTTTTTCCACTTGGATGGTTTTGTAACACTGTAACTTGTAAAGTACCACACTGTCACTTTAAATCTGCTCTACTTGGATATGGGAGAATGGTCTGAAATATATATAGTAAGTCCACTGTGAAGCATTTCAGCCGCACACAGAACAGGGCCACAGAGGAGACGATAGAGTTTGCAGAGACAGGTGAAGGAGCCTCCTGAACAAACCATTGGTTGCTCTCTGATCTACATTCACAACAGCAGCAGCAGTGGTGTGGACAGCACAGAGCAGTGTCCTTGAGAGGAGCTGTGCTTTACTCTATTGATTTGTGGAAGCGTCTCTGAATCCCTCCCACGTCGGTTCCTTCATGTCAGCTGTTTGATGTGAAAACGCTGTCTGCTCCTCCCTCTGCTACTCCTTCTGTTCCCGCCTCTGCAGACCCTGATAGGACTCTAGGCTGTGCTCTAAGGGTGGGCTTCACCCCAGGCTGGTGACGCATCACGTGTGCATGATGAGTGGGACAGAACTACTGGAAAATATCTATAGTTATACATCAGTCAAGTGACAGATTGTGAGGAAAGCTAACAGAGCCATAAATGTTAATTAAGTCCATAAATGTAGTTGAATGTTGTGTGTCTTGGATCATGTATCGGCAAGTAAAAACTCCAAAAACCCAGTAGGCAAAAAGTGAGAAACCTTAAGGAGGCCCACATTGAGGGAGGGATCCGCTCCCACAGATGAACAGGCTGTAAATCAATGATTCAGGCTTTAAAACACTGATGTATTGTGGCCATACTTGCTTGTGAATGCCAGATCCTGTCAGACCTCTGAAGCTGTGCAGGGCATGGCCTGGTTTGTACTGTAATGGGAGACCTCTGATAAAACCAGGTGCCACAGTAGGGTGGCTGTAAAGTGTCACACTGTCGTGGTGTCCTTAGGCAAAACACTTTACCCACATTGCGGAGACAGAGGGAAGAGTCTCTGCGTTTCTCATCTTAGGGAGAAGATGATGCTCAGGGGTCCCCTCTCCGGTTTTAGAGCAGAGGAGGGGATTGGGGAACCCCCAGTAAAAGCCTCAGGTGACTCTAACCTGGAGTGTGGTTAAACACAGCCTCAGGCGACCACAGTGTAATCATCTCATGATCTTATATCTTTCTGCATAATTGAGGATTAAAGCAGTTATTAACCATTCACTGATTGTTTCTCTGATTGTTACACTGCTTGTTCTCACTACAGACTCTATCTCCTTAATCTCATGATCAGTGAACTCGTTTTAACGATGGTCTGTTCAATCAACGAATCAAACACTTCTTACTGTGAAACTGATGTGGCGTCTGTTTCAGTATGATGTTATTACAGCACTGAACAAAGGGTTAGGGTAGAGCAAAGTAAAGCAATATTTACTTAAATAATTATCTGTTTCACTTTTGTGTTTTCTCTGAGTTTACTGACATCTGAGGTTTATGTTACTCTATTATGTCTACTTTTGTGACTCCAGTCTTTTTCAATAATTGAATATGCCAATCATAAAGTAAGTAGAGACTTATTCAACAAAAAGGCTTTGTTTCTACTATATTGTTCTTTAGTGCTGCCCTTTGTCATACTGTGCAGAGATGTGGGGAAACGTAGGGAAAACATGTTTAGATTCTGTACAGAAATGACAGAAAAGGCTATTAGAATAGTGAGGAAAGTGGGGTGTCTTGCACGTATGTATTTATACAAAATAGAACTTTTAAACTATGTGACATTACAGGACAAAATCCCAACAATGTATCTTGTGCTTCTTCAAATGACAATAAATCACAATTTCTTTATTTTTGAATCTACTATAGCAAGAACTAAAGTGAAATCAATGGGGGTTTCTGTTCCCAGACCGGCACCGCTCCGGATTGGCCTTTGGTAACTCAGCTTTGGATTTCAAAAACACTAGGCTGTCTCATGCTCAAAGGTTCAGAGTCAGATACCCAGCACTCCTCGGTCTCCAAAGTCTTCATACTTCATTCATCAGACTCATTACTCAACTATGACGCAAGCTGCTATTATTTAAAGTCCAATCCCTTTGATGTATGTCCTGGTGCGCTCCCCTGCAGTGTGAGAGCAGAATGTCTTTTACTGCTGCCCAAAAGTACTCTGAAAGCTTTAGTATGCCACTTATAGGACAATTCAATTCTATTCCAGCCTCTAAATCCAAGGGTTACTGCTTTCCTGGACCATGATGCATCTTGTTTGTTTTCACCACCGCTTCCCAACAGCTACACATTCATCATACCTAAAGCATTCTTCCACCTGCCCGCTCAAAGCGCATTAGCATATGTTCTGCTAATATCCTGCATCCCCGAGAGACTCCAAATGTCCCTCTGATAATTGGAAATGTATAGCGAGTGAATTTATAGCTTTTTTTAATCTGTCCTCGGAAAAAAAAGTCACCATTTGTCAATGTCTGTTCGTTTATTAATTAATCTTTGGGAAGAGAAGCGTGCCATTTCACAGTGGCGCGTGGAAACCATTAAACCCTGGTGATGGATATCCAGGGGAAAATGTCAGTCTGTCAGAGGAGAGGGGGAAATAAATTTGAGGTAGCGTGTTCAATAATCCTGATCTCTACCGCTCTCACTTTTCCCGCCCTCCCACTCAATCCTCTGATTTGAAAAGACCATCATTCCCGCATTACCGTCCATTATGCATGGTGTGTTCTGTGGTAGTGCAGGCTCGGCAAAGTTGGCTCGGCAGAGTTGGCTCGGGCTCGGGCACAGATAGAGGGAGTGTTAATTGGAGTTG